CATTCCATTATGTGTTTCTAATTACTCAAAGCCCAGATGTTGCTTCAGAACAACTCAGTACCTATTTGGCACCATCCTCCCACGGCAGGTTTACTCTTCTCTGGGAAAAACACCTTGGCTGAATTACTGCAATATTTTCCCACATAATTTCTAGCCTCTGATCATTCTCCTTTCAGTTCACCTCTCTTTTTTCCTCTCTTTCTCACAGTGGGGATCACATCCTTGCCAAGCCCCTGAGGACCCTCAGCTCTGGCTGCTGAGTGGGGCTCAGGGGTAACGTTGTCCTCCCTATTTGTAGAACCCACTGGAAAGCCCAGATCAGCCTCTGAAATGGTGCTGCCCCTTGTCAAACCACACCTCACCCTGGGCACTTCATCTCTCCTTGTCCTCACTTCTCACTTGCTTTTGCTGCACTTCACCTCGTTGGTTTTACAAGAATTTTCTGATTGAATCAACTTGTCACCATCAGCACTCATCCAAATTTACCCACAGAGCTGAAAGGAGGGGTTTTGTTGCCTCAGCATCGATGTGTGGTGCTGCTTGGGGTGTCAAGAGGAGTTGGTGCTTCCAACATCCCAGGAGATCAACCCCCTGCCAAACCAGCAGCTGGAGCCCAGCTGGGACACCCCGGGCTCTCCAAACTGGAACAGATGTCCCCATTTAGGCTTTCAGCTCTGTCTGATCCCTTCCATCAGCTAAGCTGGTGATAAAAAGATGGAAACAAATAGCTGGCTCTTCAATCTCCCTGGAAATGTGGCACTGTAAAATGAGCTAAATTGTCCAGCTGGAATAATTTTCTGTGGGGTCAGAGAGCCAGGAAAGAACCAAAAGACTGAGGAGCATCAGGAAATCTGTTCTTTACCTACAACGACAACAGGCATTAACCAGACAATAAATTTGTAGCCCCATTCTTGCAATGTCAATGAGTAATTTTATTATTCATCAAAACTAAAATATCATGTATAAAGATGTGTTTATAGGTGCCAAAGAATGTGTGATTTTTTATTGATAGGAGGGTTTGCATATTTTATATTTGTAAAACAGCATTAGCATAAATTCCACAAAGATCTCGTCTATTGTCTGTGTGGGTGTTGGTCTGGCTTTGTTGATTAAAAAAAATTTCAATGAGCTGGGCCCAGGATAGAAGCCTGACAGATCTAAATCCCTTTCTTGAACAGATTTCTGATATGAAATTCAAAGTCTGATGTTTCTTAAATTGTGCCCACGCTGGATGATTTGCTTTCAATCCCATTTCCCTGCTTGGAGGAGCCTCTCCTGTCAGGTTGGGTCAAAAGCCTCATGAAAGTCGAGGTCTATCAAATCTATCACTTCCCTGTGTCCATAGGCCAACGACCCCATTAAAGGCAGAGATTAAATTACTCTGACATGATTTGTTCTTGACAAGTCCACGCTGGCTGTTCCCACTCCCTTCTCTCCTTGCAGTGCTGATAAATTGATTGGTTCATAATTTGCTCCAGTGTTCTTGAGCAGCTCAGGGTCCATCATTCCCCAGCTCTTCCTCTTGCCACAGCTCTCCAGGGTGACCTGTGGGTCATGGAAACTCCCCTGTTCTTTGGGAAGGGTCTCAGGGTGACCTGTGGGTCACAGGAACTCCCCTGTTCTTTGGGAAGAGGCTCAGGGTGACCTGTGGGTCATGGAAACTCCCCTGTTCTTTGGGAAGGGTCTCAGGGTGACCTGTGGGTCACAGGAACTCCCCTGTTCTTTGGGAAGGGTCTCAGGGTGACCTGTGGGTCATGGAAACTCCCCTGTTCTTTGGGAAGAGGCTCATCCATGGCTTCCAGGCAGTGGGGAAGCCACAAGTGCCGGGACATGTTTTTGGAGCCTGAACTCATTTTGTGTGTCCCTCTGTTGGGAATTGTAAGACTGTGGCTCAGATGGGCTGTTTGGGTCCAACTCAGCCAGCTCTGGACCCCAGCCCACACCATCTTACATGGATGAGAGCAAAAGATTGGAAGAACTCTTCTCCACATGGGGATGGATGTCTGTCACAGACATCTTTTATGAAAAACCCTTTCCTTAGGATTCTTCCTCCTGAGAAGCTGAGAGGCCTGAGGAACAAAACGTAAACAATTATTATCTGCTGCTGTAGAATGAAACAGGTGCATCTTTGATTGGCCCATGTTGAATGTTTCTAATTAATGGCCAATCACAGCCCAGCTGGCTCAGACTCTCTGTCCGAGACACAAACCTTTGTTATCATTCCTTCCTATTCTATTCTTAGCCAACCTTCTGATGAAATCCTTTTTCCTATTCTTTTAGTATAGTTTTAATGTAATATATATCATAAAACAATAAATCAGCCTTCTGAAACATGGACTCAGATCCTCATCTCTTCCCTCTTCCTCGGACCCCTGTGAACACGGTCACAGATGTTCTCTGTTTATTGGCTGCTAGGAAACACCTCAGACTCTGGTGACTCCCCAGGTGAGAAAGAGGGCATGGCCTGATGGCAGAAGCCTTTTATACCTGGGGGAATGGGGGGCAGAGGAGGAGGACTACAATCAATGGGATACCAGCAAGGAGGACTGAGGGAAGGGACTGAGCAGGGAATAGAGCACCAGGGTAACACTCAAGGAGGGGGAAAATGGGGAAGACCATGAGGTCATAGCACACAAATCGTGTGAACAGGGCAAATTACCAAAACACCCAGTGCAGACAACTAAATCATTATTTAATGCAATACAACACCTCTCCCTTTTCTGTTAAAAAATTAAAGGAAAAAGCGTCTGACTATTTCTGTTACAGATTATGAATTTGTCCAACAGGGAATGGGGGAAACTGGGAGTGTGGGATTTTCTCACAGGAATGCAGTGCTAGACTAGGAGCTGCTGGGAGGCTCAGGAGTCTTGGGCTGCTATTTGATAATTGCTGCCCCGAGATGTGCAGGATGTCTCTGTTTCGTCCCCTGCAACTGAAGAACAAGTCTGGACCCTTCACTTTTCAGTCTTGAGGTTGTTTATTAATTCTTATCTATAAAGTTTTCTTTCTGCCCAGCCGAGGTCTGCTCAGCAGGGCAGCCACAGGCACTCTGACCACCCCCGAGGTGGTGTTGTCCTTTTATACTAAAAACTACCTATAATATATTTACACTTAATTCCCAATACCTATCACCTATGTTAGACAGTGCACTTCTACTCTAAACCAATCCCAAAGTGCCAACATCACTGCAGAAAATGAAGAACGAGAAGAAGAAGAAGAAGAAGAAGAAGAACTGGACACGCTCAGATTCCTCCATCTTGTCCCCATAACCCCCATACTAAAAGTCCTAAAATCTACATTTTCACCCTGTGATTATTTTGTTATTACACCATTCAAATCTGTGTGACTTTCAGGTCCTCATACAAAGTTGGCAACTCGCTGCAGGGGTCATAATCAAACCCACATGTGTTCTGGGCTGTGTGCCAGGGTCTCTGAGCCCCCTGGCAGGGTCCTTGCAACTCTGGACACCCAGAGGAATGCACTGTGTCCTGACAAGGAGGAGCTGACGGAGCTGCAGAGCCTCTCAGGCTGGCCTTTCCCATTCCCGTTCCCGCTGTGGGCTGGAGCCGCGTCGGCAGTGCCGCGGTTTGGGCACGGCGGGCGGTGTGAACAAACAGCATCTGCTCCCAGAGCTCTGCTGACGTCGGGCCCACAGGAATTGTTGCTTCCCAGCTTGGATTGCAGCCCCCAGCCCAGCCATTCCACCCCAGCTGACCCTCCCTGCTCGGACATGGGAACAGCGGGAAGGGGCTGAGCTGTGGTGCAAAAATCTGCCCACAAAATGGAATTTGTGTGTGTGGAGGGGGGGACACTTGCAGGGGGTGACACTTTCCTGAAATACCACTCACCGTCCCCTCAGGTGAAGGTCACAGAGGCCCTTGCAGGGTCTCCCCATCCTTGTGGCCTCCTGGATGCCCATGGACAGAAATCCCAGTCCAATTCCCGAAGGAGTTGGAGAAGCCAGGATTTGCCTCACCGGCAGCAGGACAAGGCACTCCTGCTAAAGGTGAGCATCCCTGGAAAAATCCTCCAGGCAGAGGAGCTGCCAGTCAGAGATGGACAAACCCTGAACTGGAGTTCACCAGGAGGAGCTCAGTGGATCCCTCCCTCACAGGAATTCTGCAGGGAAGGAAAGTTTTCTCCCTTCCTCAGTGTTGTTTCCAAGTTACAGGAAGAAATGTGGGAGTTGGCACAGCCCCCGGGAAGGACTCAGGCTTGGATGAATCACTGGATCTCTCCCCACCTGTCCCCAACCCCACACTGGTTCCCAGTGCCAGCCAGAGCTAAGTCCCAACAAGATCTGTGATCATGGAGAGATCCAAACCTGGATTTGGCTGTGCTGGGGGGTCGTGGTGCCCTCTGTAGCTGGGTGAGCAAAAAAGGTGGGGCACAGAAACCCAGGAACTGCTGCTGGGGCTCTGCTGGCATCCCAGAGGATCCAGTCTGGGGAATCCCAGATCAGCTGTGGCTCTGCATGGGAACAAGGTTCACAGGGATTGGGATTTCTGTCCATGGGCATCCAGGAGACCACA